CCATAGAGGTTAAATCAGTCCACATTGAAATCAACTTTGGTTGCTGAGAGCATGGGTTTGTATAATTTAAGTGCAAGCACTCTATCAAAGTTCAATGTCAGCAGTGTTTCAGCCGCAGCAAAATCTGTTAACGGTTTTTCTGGTCTCCCTGCTTAAAGAGCATAGAGGTGTCATCAGTTCTTTGCCAAGATCATCCTTGCGAAGTCGTTGGTCTCAGCAAGCAAGATAGTGCAAATCCGCAACTAGGCGATGTAAAATTGCGCTCCGAGGCAATCAAACTAATAGCGAATGTTTACGTGGACAGCATCAGCCAGCTCTCAAATATGCCCATTTTTAGGCGCACCCATCAGTTTGTTACCATGCTTTATTGCCCTCGCGATGGACAGAATTTGGTAGTGAGGCAAAGAAAACTCATTTATACAAATCGGCTTTTGATACCAAAGATTTAGTCACGTCCAGATTATGTCTAACTCAGTGGCCACGCTCAAGATAGCGCAATCGATGGTTCTGCTCACCAACCTCTCGCCAATGCCGGTGATGCAAGTGAACCATATTATGGAAGCGCACCTATCCCAATTTCTGGTTAAGGTCCTCAGCATATACCACCTTCTTTGGAGTCTTCGTTAGACTGTTCACTCGGTAGAAATCCTGGGTCGTCCACGGATCCCCCTTTAGATGGCATAGGGACTCGATACAGACCTTTTGACCTGCCTTCTCACTTAGGTACCACCGTTCAGATTCCAATGACACTGGTTAGTGCTGGTGAGGCAAATCAACCATTTTTAATCCCTGAATACTGGTGAAAAAAGCCTCCACTATATCGAACTCTACTTGAAGGCTTCTGGGACCAAAAATTTTACCGAAAGGGTGATGGGGCATTTGGAAGAGGACACAACCCATCTGGGCGGTGTCGCAGATCTAACGAGGGGGTCTGCCATGCGCTTCTTTTTTATGGGCGGCTGGCACGACACCATGGTGGACCTAGAGATGGGGCTGAGACGACACCACTCCACCACATCTGTGTTGGTATCGTGTGAATCGACGGCAGAGAGGACTTAACGGGTCGAGAGGAGCGCGATCCCTTAGCCCTGGTTTAGGACCTCTGAGCGTATTCTAACTGTTGTGCTTGCCACCATGAG